TATGTATTGTTTGTTCTACATGACAACTGCACCTCTGAGGTCCGCCCGGTCAAAATCCTATATTTATCATACACATATTTGAATGCTTGTTTTGGAATTGTACTGTATTGTTAGCTACTTAAAAGTCCTTGTCTGCACACTTAACTAATAAAACGTATTATTGTTCTTTGATTAGGTCCAACAGTTATTCAGCGGGATAATAAAAAGTACTTTGTACTGAAACTGCTAAGCAACTCTTTGAGTCAGGAAAAGTGAAGTTATATTATTTTATTTTGTCTTAATATTGAGTTTGAATGAAAAGCTATTTCACAGTTGTTTAGATTTAAGGCTCAATGTTGTGCAGAATACTGGTATTACATATTGCTGGTTGACTTTTTATTCAAGCTGACAGTGTATTTAAAATAAAGCGGATAGGGATTGGCAGACACTTTGGTCAAGTGTCATTACCAGTCATGAGTCCATTGTAAACAGCTGGCACAGGTGCAACAGAAACTATTTGCATTAGGGGTGCAATGGTATCCGTATTCGTCCCAAAACGTCACGGTTCGAATGTCAAGGTTCGGCACATGCAGTCACACGACGAATACGCCTTTTTTTATGAGTGGGAAAAAAGTCTGTCACTCAGGGCAGTATCCATTACACTATATATAATCCAGGGGGCTGTATTGCGCCTAAAAGCTGTTTGCCTGCCGCCCTTAAACAACAAATGAAGAACAAGAAGAACGCACAACAAAACGAACAAAATGCAAAAGGAAGAAAACTTAGTATGGCGATTTCAGATAACACACAGGAGCTAGAAGACCCACCTGCTTCTTTTAAATCAGCTCTGTGGGAACATTTCGGGTTCCCTGTGGACTACAACAACGATGGAGTGCGAGTGGTGGATCGGACGAGGACGTTGTGTTGGCGTTGGTGCGGTATGCTAATGGTAACACACGCCAAACATGCTAAATCATATCAGAAGGCATCACCCAGATTTGCCAATCACCGGAGCCCGGCAAAAGACAACAGCAGTTCAACAGCTTATCCCCGCTGTTTTTAAGAAGCCAATAGACATGAAAGCCGAGAGACCAAAATAAATAACGGAAGCTATATTTGAACGGCTATGCGCCCTTGAAACACTTTCTTATTATTTATTTTGTAATATTTTCAAGACATTCTTTTTAGTTTTACAGCTTATTGAACCTTTTTGTTTGACATCAGCCATTATAGATAATATGGCCATCTGAGTGTGTGTGGTACCGTTTGTGGTTTGTTTTTAACTGTGTAATACAGTTAATTATTCAAAATGTTAGAGTTCCTTATTTTTAAACTGAAACTTGCACTACTGTTCAAAAATAAACAACAACAAACCTGGAATTATGCATTTGGGACTTTTTTTTGCTTTTTCTTGTTGTACCGAACCCGTACCGAACCGTGACCCCCAAACCGAAGTACGTACCGAACCGTGAATTCTGTGAACCGTTACACCCCTAATTTGCATGCAAGAAAATAGATGTTTTGCCACAAATAACAATCAAAACCTTTCAACTGCATTGAAAAAGAAAAGTATAATTTGAAAATTAATCAATACGAGGCGATCATCTGTTGATAGGGTATACAAATACTTCAAGCAGTCATCAACTACAGGCCTTTTTCATACACTGAAGATATTTTCAGACTTGCTTTTATTGTCCCAGTAAAGATAACATTTATTTGGATTTATGAATGAAAAACTCAGTTACAAGATTAGAAGGCTGTTAATTAATGAGTTGAACTCAGTGTGCGAAAAAGCACACGTCCCACCGCCCGGGACGTGTTATTTACAATGTCGGACAAGTAGATCTTTCAATTGACTTGTCCAGCGGACAAGTGACGTTTTTAGCCCTCATTTATTGACAAATTATTGATAAACTCAGTTTACAAAAGGCAGAACTCATTCGCAAATTGTCCGTGGCCGCCATTGTTCGTTTAGAAATGTTAGTTTCGGTTCTGCTTGTCGATTCCTAAGGAAATGCATCTCGCCGCTTTCTGTACTGTTAAACGGGGGTGGGGCAGTGCGGGACGTGTAGCACAGTGGCAGGGTTGGGAAGCAAAACTCGGTTCCGAGTAGGAACAAATAACAATTGTCCGGTACCGGGATTAATAAGAGTTGTGAGGACAGGAGGCCGAGCCCCGCGGACCGCAGCTCTCTCTCTCTCTGCTCCGGATCATCTGATCGCTGCACGGTGCAGTTCAGCGTCTCTCTCTCTCTCTCTCTCTCCCTCTCTCTTTCTACACACAGCGGACCCGCTGCCCGTTTAACAGCCTAATCTTTGTCAAACTTTCTTATGTTCTTTCTTTAACACGTAATGAAGGTTATTAAGCGTTTTAGCTCCTACATTGTTAATATTGACCGCCATTTCCTTTATGAAGTAAAGCAGCCTCCCTGTCTGTGTCCTCGCGCTGTCCTCACATCCCCCGACCCCCAGACTCGGAGGAGCACAGGGATGTTAGTATTGTTTATGAAGCAGGGTATAGAAAATACATTATTGAAATGAAAATAGTATTTATTTACTTTTACAAACAGTGAGCAGCGGCAGCATGTGTATTGCAGGACATGTGTAAGCATGCAAGCGTCTTTGAGTTGTAGAAAAGCGCTAGGCCTATAGGCTATAAATATAATGTATTATTATTATTAGGCCTATGTGTTGGACATGTGTGGTTGGACTCTGTCTCACAGGCAGGTTGCAGTGTAACATCAGAGGAGACTGGGCCAATTGTACATTCTCAAACTGCACCACATAGAACTAACTAAACAATGCAGAGATTATTTTTATATAATTGTATTCAATAACCGTAAGAAATTAAACAGTATGAAGTGATTTCTAAATATGAATACAGATTTGACTTAATGTTTTCATAAATATGTTTTTCTCCCAGTTTGTCATGGGACTTATTTTTACCCTCTCAAAGAACCGGAATCGAGAACCGAAAATAACTGCAATCGAAAAGCAGAACCGGAATCGTTAAAATCCAAACTATACCCAACCCTACGTATGTGTGATGCAGTAAAATCTTACCGCTCACTTACGTTAGCGGTGACGTAAAAATCGTGGGGAAAAGTAAAATACGTTGGCGAAGAAGAAGATTCCAGTGCCCCCAATTTTTGTCCATTCTGGACAAATGAAAAATGTATTCGGACAAGTAAATTGCCAAACTCACTTGTCCATGGACAAGTACTCTCTAAAAACTTTTTCTCACACTGGAACTGATAGAGTGAAAGATAACTGTTTGTGCAATGATGGTCATCACACCAGTATCAAAGCATGTCCCATTTTATAGCTGCCAGTGGGATAATTGCTCGACTGTGAGAGCAAACTCAAGATACATTTTAGTTTTAAAAAAACAACATTGTAATGGCTCCATTAAGTTAGAAAAAAAAACATAATTGTGGTCTCTAAAGCTAGATTAATAGTTTAAGAAATAATATTATAATGGCCTTATTCAGGCCTGTAGTTTTTAATGATTGGGATAAAAATAAGCATTGGTGTCACAATTAAGTTCGTCGTTATAGAATATGTTTTAGTAGCTTATTCTCCATTTCAATATGTTTATTGTTCTCAAAGAAACCTTGAAAATGTTACAAAAGTACCGACAAGATATACAAAAGTTAAGGAGAAAACCTCACCATCCAGATAAGACAAAGGTTATTTAAAAGCCAAGCTAAAAACTTTATTGGAAAAGGTCACAGAGTCAGGGCTGGTTACAGGTCTGTGTTGCAGGATTACAACATTCTCTGTTAACCGTTTTGGTTCTAACTCCTGGGGCAGCCAGTAAGCCAGCCCAGTATGACAAAATAGGTCAGAGGAGAGAGATTTATAGAGCAAGATCAAGTAGAAGATTATGAAATGAATTTTCTGAGTGACTCGACATTTTCAAGTTTTCTTCAAGCCCCTGGCAGCAGTGTTCTTAATTACTTGGACTAGCCGATGAGTTGGTTGAAGCTGGACTGGAAAACAGCGTCTATATCCATCATCATGACATAATTACTTCCATACTTTGCATTTCATCTTACCCTTCCAATAATAATGTGTTTGCCTATGACACAGACACACGCACACGCACACACGTTTCCAGGACGTTTCCAGGACGACCCCATTATCAGGAGCCAATAAATCCTAATGGCCAAATAAGCACTGGCGTCCCAGTTTTCTTCTTCTGCTGGCTATGTTTGCCTTATGTACAATCTGCATTAGTTCATATATTTATCTTCAATTGTTACATTGTCCATAGTAATCAGTCACTTCTTTACCCACCTGACATTTTCATTTTCTCGAATAATACTACAGTGACAGATATTTGTAGTAGTTCTGGTGGTTCGACTTCTTTTGGTGCGAGTTATTTTACTCTTTATTCAGGTGTACAGTATTCAATTTACATTCTGTTTTTAGCTCATCTTATTTTACATGTATACAGGTTACTTCTTAAGCATTTACCTGCACATTGGTCATTATTTTATTGGTTATGTCTTATTAATGCTGCATTGAGTCTGGTTAGATGTTCATTGCCATAACTACACTGTAGCTACTGTGCATATGACAATAAAACCTTTGAATTTGAAGTGATGCACGATTATTCTTCCTATATTAGGTCATACAACATATATAAAGTCACAATAAAGCCCTCCTATCGAGTTGTAAACATTGAGACGGTTGGGCTACGCACTAAAAAAAGATAAGCAATGTTTTGTTTAGGTATTTTCTTTTCCACATTTTGTCGTTTTAGACAGGGTAAAGGTGACGACTGAGGAGTAATGAGGCCTTGTGTTTCACGGTCACACTCCGGCGTCAGCAGACAGATCGACACACGGTCACACAGCCCGTCGCTCCGGTAACGAACATCTCTCACCGTTACTCGTTATCTCCCGCCGGTTAGCATAGAGCCGGGGCTTCTAAGTTCTACATGTGCGGCTTCCCAACACCTCCACATGTGTGATATCAGTGTCTAATGGGATTAAAGATGGCACGTTTTGCCCTCACCTGCCTGATGAAAGAGAAGCCGGAGCCCACTTCCCTTCTCGGCTAACGTTACGTCCGTCGGCTTGTCCCCGTGTTGTGTGTTGTTGCACGGTGAGGAGGCGGAGGCTGCAGCTAGCTTGTAGCCGAAGGATAACCAACGCTGGGCGGACTGCGGTGAACAGATGAGACCGTCTTCTAGCCCGGTTCTTCCGAGACGAGCTTCTTCTTATCCTACACCAACCGGTTCCTTTAGACAGCTGCTGCTCACAGAGGGATTTCGCCTTTCATAAAGACACGGGGTTGACGTTCGTCCTCACGCATGCCCACATCCACTTGTGACGTAAAGCGCCTTCCTCTCGCCCCGCCTTGGAACTGAGGCTCAGCCAATCAGAGGCGGCACAGTGGTGACGCAACCGCCCCCTCCTTCATTGTGAGGATGGTCAGTGACAGCGCCTTCCTCGGCTTTTGTAATGTTGTTAACCTTTCTTGCATAAGCTTCTCTTTTTTTTCTGTGCAGTTACTTAACCAGCACGTTCACCCACCTCCTTAAAAATTGAAATGGGCTCTTTCTGCTTGTGTCATCCTCTGTGCTGCCTAGATGCTGATGTATTCCACCACACCGCCACCTGATGGTTGTGTGTTTTGTACTGTCTTTTGCATTTCCACAGCATATTTGTATGATATAATACAATGTTCGAGTTATCATTTGAGCTTTATGGGCTTCTTTAAAACTAGCGCGCACACACACACACACACACACACACACACACACACACACACACACACACACACACACACACACACACACACACACACACAGCAGCAGCAGCCCTCTATACTGCTGCTGGTTTATAAAGCTTTGAATGGCCCAAAATACATTTCTGACCTACTGCTAAATTATGAACCATCCAGATCTCTCAGGTCTTCAGGGACTGGTCAGCTTTCTGTCCCCAGAGTCAGAACTAAACATGGAGAAGCAGCGTTCAGTTATTATGCTCCAAATATCTGGAACAAACTCCCAGAAACCTGCAGGTCCGCTGCAACTCTTACTACTTTTAAATCCAGGCTGAAGACTTTTCTTTTTGTCGCCGCTTTTAATTTAACTATTCACATCTTAAACTGCACTGTAACTTTTATCCATGTATTTTTTCTTTTAATGTTTCTTTTATTATCTTTTCTTTTTAATGACTGTTTTTAAATGCCATTTTCTTAATGTCTTTCATTTTTTGTAAAGCACTTTGAATTGCCTTGTGTTGAAAGGTGCTATATAAATAAACTTGCCTTGCCTTACAAACTTAAATATGAAAAGGTTCAACTACTGTACGCACATAACACATCATCTCGGCTCGCGCAGCACGCTCACAGGCATAGATTGCGCAATAATTTATTGCGCACCTTGGAGGTGAAGTGCAGGCATATATATTCAAGAGAGAATACGATGCGTAGTTCTTTTGGAAAACATGTTTTTCTTTTAGCCTATTTACCTCGTTAACGTAAATAATACTCATTACATTGACACATGCATTATTTGTGATTAAAATAATGTTTGTATGTAATGCGACCCCCACAGATGTATGATTTCACTGCTTTCATATAACTCGAACCCTGATATAATACATTTGCCACAACGTTGGATAACAACGGTTATTAAACCAGCAAGCAGAAACACATTTTCGGTGGGGTGAGGTTGTAGTACTATTTTCGTTCGAATTTCCTCTGGGAACATAACACTTTTGTTGCTTACCTTGTCTTTTGTTCTGTAGCCTACTTGTTTTAGTATTGTGTTGTTGTCACCTGATGTTCATTCTTTTATTGAGAATCGTGGGAAACATGTTTTTCCTCTGCACTGTATATAAAGGGATGATAACATAAAAGTATCTCTCATCTATTATCTTTTAGTGGTTCAAAAGAGAAGGTTATCCATTATTTGAGTGTTACAGGAGTTGACATTTTTTAAGAACATGGCATTTGGTATTAAAAATGTGCCATGAGGAATAAACACACGTGAGGGGTTAAAGGGATTACTGAACTCAGAACCAAGAAGGCTCTTGCTCGAGTACATTTCCATTTACAATGTAGGAAAATCTACCTTACAGCACAAATAACTATAGTGTATAGGCATGGTAATGGAAGGTTATAGTGTTTTAATGAAATGCAAATTTGGATTATCAAAAACATATCAACAACCTTAAAGGGCACAGATTTATTATAGAAGCTGTAATACTAAATGTATTGGCCACTTGGTTTATCAGGAGTAAAGGACAAGCCCACATGAGTTGTTGTTGGCATGGGGCATTGTCAAACAAGGGGCTGGTGACTAACCAGTACACACAAAGGAGCAACATTAGAATGAATCTGATCTCTGGACTCATCATCAGACAAGATTAATCTGCAAGGGGGCCCAGCAGGGCGAAGGAAAAAACACGTAATGAACATTAGGTTTGAGAGCAGTGAGACTGAAGCAAATGGGAATTTCTAACAACATCCGAAAAATTATTAATATAACTTATTCACAAAAGTCTTTTTTCAAAGGGTTTGTGGCCTGGATTCACACTTTAGTCCTGTCAAATACGTCGGTGAAACCCATAGTATATGAACGCATTCTTTTAACTTTGATTATTTTAATTATTTGACACGTTTTTATTCTTGTCCATTTTTGTCTGCCATGTTTAAAGTGGACCTATCATGTTATATTATAATAATATCAGGGATGCAAACTCATCAGGTATGAAAAAGGTGACAAGGATCCGAGCCCCCCGACCCCACGGAATATCGGCTTTAAAATGAGGAATAACAGAGGATTTTAGCAGTCAGAACAACTAAAGCAGCAGTTAATAATAACAGAGTCACATCTAATAGAAATATATTTAAGCATTTATTTTAATTGTGTAGCAGTCAGTTTATAATTTTGGCAGGACTGTTGAGCATTTTGAAAATGTATTTTCATGCCGTGCAAGGCTGTCTTTCTATCTTTATAGCCAGTGGTGTAAAGTAACTAAGTTCATAAACTCAACAAGTACTATACTTGGGTACAATTTTGAGATACTTGTACTTTATTTAAGTATTTCAATGTTTTGCTACTTTGTTCTTCTTCTCCTCTACAGTTCAGAGGTAAATGGTGTACTTTTCCTCCACTACATATTTAATACCTTTAGTTACTTTACAGATGTGGATGAATGATGTGAAATATAATCAAGTGTTAAATCAGACTTTAGTTCCACCTGGAGTAAATTCACAAGCTACCCTGCAGTATACAAAGTCATTCAAACTAGCTGCACCTTTACCAGCTTTGAGAACACTTTCATGACCAATCATTATAAAACATATCATATATATTATTCTGAAATGGACCAATCTGCACAATGACTACTTTTGCTGTCGCTACTTTAACTATATTTTGATGAACATTTTGAATGCAGGACTTTTACTGTAACAGAGTATTCCTACACTCTGGTACTTCTACTTTTACTCAAGTACATGATCTGAGTACTTCTACTTTTACTCAAGAACAAGATCTGAGTACTTCTACTTGTACTCAAGTACAAGACCTGAGTACTTCAACTTTTACTCAAGTACAAGATCTGAGTGCTTCTACTTTTACTCAAGTACAAGATACTTATACCACCTCCGTTTATAGGCTATGAAAGAAACTATTTGAAGCTAACGTTAGCAGATAGTGACAATGTATGCTAGTTAGCTATCTCAACGATTCATTAAATAATATTGCGACAGAAACACTTTTCAGTGCACATCACGCTCTACCGCTCCGACAGGGGTGCTCTGCTCTGAACACCCCGTTCTAACCAGCGGTCCAGTCTGTGCCACAGTGACTCTGGACCGCACAGGCAGTACTCGAGTTGAGGGGGGATGAGGGGGGATGGCATCCCCCCTGAAATAAAAATGGTCAAAATCATCCCCCTTCTAAAACTGCCATCCCCCCTTTCCATCCCTTATGTTATTTTATCAATGAACGTGGCACTGGTATTACTGCTATTTCAACATTAATTTTGCGCATATTGAGTAAAATACTGTGGGCGAGGGAGCACGCACACATGCAATGACATTTTTACCAAGTCACTGACGCTATGCTATGCGAGTGCCGTGATGTGCCCGTTTGATTGATGCCAGAAGCTGCATAGCAGCACTAGCGCAGGTAACGGTCATCACAATGGCCAAGCGACCAGGAGGACAACGCAATCTGAGGGACTTCATATTTAAAAAGACTAAAAATAACATTTCAGGTAAGTCAAGAGTCAGTAATCTTAGTCATTACTCATTACTTTAGTCACCAAAGGTGGAATAACAACTTAGTTTGGAGTTTAGCTACGTTTTTCTCTCGTGTTAGCTAGCTGGTAAGACTCAAAACTGTTGATGAAATGATACCACCAGTACCAGAAGAGCTGAAACCCCTCCTTCAAGCAGTGAACACTCTGGTCATCTCCACAGCTGAGTGTGAACGTGGGTTTAGTCAGATGAACATGTTAACCACAACTAGAAGCTCCCTAGAGGTAAAAAGCATGTCAGCCTTGCTTTTCATCAAGTGTGTTGACCCTCCACTGAACAAGTTCAGACCAGATGTATATGTCAAGACTTGGCTTCAAAGCCATTGCTTATGGCGCATTTCCATTGCAGCGCGTAGCTCGCTTTAAGCGTGCCGTGTCGTGCCGTCCCCTTTTTTGGTTGTGCTTCCACTAGGCCTCGTTCCGGCGCGGCACGGCGCGGGGCCACTTTTTCCCCTCTTTTCTGGCCCTAGAAAATTGTGGTTCTATCGGGGCCAACAAACAGGACTGAGTCGGGCTGAGTATGCTAAACTAGAGAGAGGAGCGCTGGCAAGAGGGCTAGAACTACAACAAGATGGACATATTTGACCGTGATTTAATTGTAATACACGTTTCAAAATGATGCCGAAGTAACAACATACTGATACCGGTTAGTAAAAACCATGAATTAATGCTTTGTCAAGTCTGCAGACAGACGGCAGGCGAAAAACCTTTTAAAATTCGTGTTTTTCTAGATGGAGATTGGCTAAGCTAACGCAGTATATGCCCCGACCGTCCACACTCACAACAACGGCCTATACAGACATAAATAAGGCAGCGACTGTATTCACCATGACACAGGCAGTCTGTGGTGTGTACTTGTTTAACTTTTGTCGAGTTTCTGAACATATTTAAGGAGCTGTGAGCTCTGAGTGCTCACAGCTAACGGCTGTGTTGTGTTTCTGCATTTCTCATTGAAGATGACGTCACGGCTCCGCCTACACTGCGTTACTATAGTAACTACCCCAGTTCCTAAACTGTAATGGAAGCGCAGCATGAAGTGAGTCGGCCCTGTTAAGGCCCAACGCGGCCAAGCCGTACCGAGCCGTACCGAGTGTGGCCGAGGCCGACCGTGTAGTGGAAATGCGCCATTAGCTAACAATCCGAAAGCAAGAGCCAGAAAAATTGAGACCAAAAAGCATGATTATGAAAATCTTTGGAAACTTCTGAGATGGGGGAGAGTGGAGTAGGCAGCCATTGACACAATTGGTCCTATTTTGTATTATCTGTATAATCTTTTAATATATTTTCATATTTTGTAAACAATTTCAATTTGCACTTAATGCCCTGTTACCTGTTGTAACATTGGGAATGTTAACATAAAAGATTTGTATTTGAACTGCAAGAAAATGATGACGGATCAATTTTGTTCTAATTTCTTTCCTCAATTTTTTCATGAAGTGTTACATTTACATAATGATTTAATAAATCACGATACAAAATTAACCCTTTAGATACCAGTTTTGATCGTATACCAGTATCTGCTTTTTAAAAAAAATACACTATAATTCAATATTCTAAAAACAAATTTGACTTTATTATTAGTATCATCAGCTGATCCATCTGAATAATAAATGAGGGACTGTTAACCTACAAGATTTGTACCATAGACTTCCATTATAACCACATTTTTGTATCCCCTCCCCCCCTTTAAATTAAAGTGAAAAAAAGATTTTGCACTAATTGTCCTCTGCATTTGACCCTAAATGTTAGTGGTGCCATGGCAGCCCGGGGACCGACTCTAATTCTGAGGTGCCTTGGTCAAGAGCAATGTCAGGAGTATCTGAACATCCATAACATGCATGTTGTTTTAGGAGTATAATAATTATCTTTATGCTGGTTGGTCTCCCACCCTCTGCGGGTTATCAGCTAAAGTTATGTCCCCATATAAAATTCACCATCCCCCCTGATTTCTTTTTACAACTTGAGTACTGACCGTAGGTAATGTAGCTGCTGAAGCTAGACCCTCATCCCGGAGCAGCAGAGCCTTATTATACATCCATGAGCAGAGCTGACAGGCAGGAAGACTTGTGCTCGCACTTCATTATAATATATAAAAAAAGAACACCATGCGTGTCATGATGGCACATAACAGCTCGCGGCCGCAGATTACTCCGGGTCCCAGACCCCCCCCATACCCCAAAAATATTTTTATTGCAGATCTACATGAATCACACAAACGACCTATTTTGGAATCAAAACGGCGAATTTCGCCGAAAGGTGACAAGTTTGCATCCCTGAATATAGTGTAGGACCATACCTATATAAGGCATTTATACTTTTTTTTTTTCAAAATACCAAACAGATCATGCATTTTAGCCATGCCTCATTTAGCTCAATTTGGACTTTTTTTACCCGTTTTTGCAAGGGCTGATTCTGTGAGAACAGCACCACCTACAGGCCTGGCATATGTACTACAGCGTCTCCAGCGCTTTCGAACGGCAATGGCCGTGGCTGTCTCCTCCTGATTGGTGGAGTTGGCCCAATAGCCGTAGCGCCACTGTCCTGACGTCAGGACAGTGTTCAAATCTGGATCAGTTTTTATCAGATCCGTTGCAGCCCCTTTTTTCGAGATTTGGGTATGGAGGAAAATAGAGAGGGTTGTGTTTTCTGACACTTGGTGAGTTCCCTGGAACACCGGGGACACATATTCATGTATAAAAGACGTACAAAAGTGCATTTTGCATGATAGGTCCCCTAAAGGTGGGGTATGTAATTTTGGAGAAACCAGCTCGAGTGCCCTAGAATTTGAAAATACACAACCGGAAAAGATCTGCCACTTCCTTACAGAGCCCCTCCTACAACACACACCACACAAACGCGCACATGACCAATGAGGGCACGAGATAAGTTTGTGCACAGACGGAAGGCAGACAGGCAGGTAGGCCATCCAGTTATTTTAGCCGGGCCGGCTAAAATGATTGGTCGTGCTTTTTACAGTACTACGGCTTCCACAGATGACATTTTTTATGGATTTTTTGTCAAAGCACTTAATATATTCATTGCTATCGGGATGTTAAGAGCATTCCATGGAATATAACAAAAAGTGTATCTCGAGCCGCAGGGACGTGCACAGACATTTTGGGGGGCGGGTGCTCAAGTGAGAAAAAGGGCACTTCCCATAATCATTTATAAAAAAATGTTTTAAAACAAAAAGTTAAATATAGTTGCACATCTCTGACTTACTGACCAATTTATTTTTATTTTATTTTTACCCTCACACTTACGCAATTGTTTAATACTCAACAGAATTCTACAAAAATAATCAGCTAACACAGAGACAATGGTCTTCTTTAGTATTCACAATGCACAAGAGCAGACAACAAACTAGTCAAATTAATAGTTCAGCCAACAATCAAAATTATGAAGTTACTGTTTAAGGACATTACAGGCAAAAATATAGTTTTTTCATGTAGGCTACTTGTTATTTTGGTCTATGTCTGAATTAATCTATAGATTTAAAGCTAATCTGCATTTAAACATAACATTTCAGGGGAAAATACTGACTTGACATAAGTATGGGGAAGTTGTGAGGTGATATGTTTTTTAGTTTTATCCTAGCTTTTCACCTGCAATGCCTTGGTAACTGCATGCAAATTAGCGCATTTTAATTAGGCCTAGTTAACGCCCAATTTGCATATCAATGTGGCGATTGTGATGACGTTATTAGATACACATTTTACTGTATTCACTTTAAGTGTCTCCCCTTAAGTACAGTACATTAGCCTGTATGCCCATGATAAATTGTCTTAGCTAAACCTTGAGCTAACTTATCCATTAGCTAGTAGCCTACCTTAGTTAACTATATTTGTTATTGTCTTTTAGCTAATTAGCTGTAAACTCGAGGCACTGGCAGTTTAGTAATTTGTTCATCACCACTCACCTTCAAAATAAACCAAGAAAAGCCGGCATAACATGGGAGAGTAAAGTGGGAGGTGCTGCTACCTGTCTGTCTGAAGGGACTGCCGATGACTGTCCGCACCGCTGTACAGGAGACGTGGAGGGAGGGAGGGTAGAGAGAGCATCGGAGCTTCACAGTCTTATCTCCCGACCTGATATTTTAATCTTGTATTCAATCAATATATTTTTTGAAAGGGAAACTGCGCAAACAGCAGTAGATAAATATTCATTTATAAAAATTTTAAAAAAAGTGGGAAAAAAGGGCACTTTCTCTGGAGGAAGAAAAAGGGCAGGGACTCAAGCCCAATTTGATGTATATGTGTGCACGTGCCTGTCGAGGCGGTTTCTCAATCTAATCTACCCCACCTTTACAGTAAGTCAACAATACAAAGACATTCAACACAAAAGGAGCTGCAGCAGTACATTATGTTTTCACACGGGTATCACTTGAACTGTACACGTGCATGAATACTCACATTGTCTCACTTGCTCGCAAGCTTTTAAAAATCTTTCACAATCTCCTTCACAATGAAGACCTTACCAAGACAGGCAGCAGCATGCCAAGGGTTCAAAATACACAAATGCCCTTTTTAAAATGTCCATATGGGCATTTGAGATAGAAAACATTATAATGGTTAAGTGAATTTTTCATATTTTAGGTGTTGATCCTCCATGAAGATAAGGGACGTGGTGTAATTATAGTGAAAGTGACTCTGATATAATCTTTGATATTTAAATAGTGTTCTATTTTATACATTGGTTATGAAGCACCTCGTTGCTAGGAGTTTCAACAAAAACCTCACATAATAAACTGGTTAGTTTTTTTAGCATTCTGTAATGAGCTGTCATATCTCAACTTCTAGTCTTCAAGTCTATACAAATGCATTTACTTACATCAATCATCCATAGTTAGTCTGAAAAAGAAAATGTTTTAGATTTTGTTGGGCTGACAAATGAAAACAGCTTTTGGCCGGGGACTATAAGGGTTAATGTCAGTTTATTCATCACAATGTTTTACGCCTCGTCATCTGAATGCAGAAGAGAAATGTAGTAAAGAGAAGTCGCAGCTGTTGACAGTGTCTTTAATAAACCGACATCACAAAGGTCCTACTGTACTGAACATAATACTGTGGCACTTAAGAGTCAGCATGCTTGTAGATACTGAAAAAACAAGAGAGAGAAAGCCTTAATTCAGAGTAAGGAGAAACGTTTAACAGTCATTTTGTTTCTTCACTGTTTCATACAAACTCACATTTCCAATTTGACCAGCTAAACATAAACTTCCACAATAGAAAAAAGGAAAAATGTGTATAATCAGCGAAGAACTGCTTCTAAACAGAAATTCCTCAAATAAATATAACGTTCAGGTCCTGTTTTATCACCCGGTGCAGCACAGATGAGAACAATACAAGGTAGGATATATATCTATCTATAACTATTAACTATACATATATACATACACACCAGTGGTGTTTCAGGTGCAGGTATCTACAGTGTCTTTACTTCAGGCGCATATGATACATAGTCATAAAACTGTAGTGCAAGCTAATTCCACATCACATATTTGATGACAAACATGCTTTACATTATTTCTCTCTTTTTTTCTTGATTTATTTTTAACTTACTAGTTCACTTCATCTGGTGCTTAAAAACCTTTGAGGAAACAGCAGGTTTGTGTGTGTTTATGTGTGTTGGTGTGCGTGCGTGCGTGTGTGTGTGTGTGTGTGTGTGTGTGTGTGTGTGTGTGTGTGTGTGTGTGTGTGTGTGTGTGTGTGTGTGTGTGTGTGTGTGTGTGTGTGTGTGTGTGTGTGTGTGTGTGTGTGTGTGTGTGTGTGTGTGTGAGAGAGAGAGAGAGAGACAGATTAGTGCTTTTAGCTGCTAAATCTCGGGAAGATTTTCAGTTTTCTTCATTTAGGACACAAAGACACACTAGACAGATGGGGAATTTTTACCCAGGAAGCTCTTCTCTTCTTCTGTCCGTATCAGTCTTTTTAATCCAGAAGCAGTTTGCAGGATACAGCGAAAGGAGCGTAGCGAGACATAGAAAGAAAAAAAAGTCTAGTTCCTATGCCTTTAGAGTACCTACATTATGTGCCAGGGTGAGTTTGAGGTGGGCGTGCTTTGTTTTAGTGTTTTGTGCAGGGGGGTTCCCTTATATCACATTCTCAAACAGCTGCATGGAGTTCATGATGTTCTCGTCCTGGAAAATCAAGAAGAAAAACATCTGTCACCAAAAGTCTGAAGTAGAGAAGTTTCAGATTTACAATCTTAGACATTACACTTTTAATTGATGTGTAACTTTGATAAAGTTTAAGTCATCACCTTCTGACAGGTCTCAATGAACTCCTCAATGGTCACTACTCCATCTCGGTTTTTATCCATTTTCTGTTGGAGAAATACACAGACAGAGGACACATTGGAGAAAATCATTTAAAGGATATTTTTTTATTTTCAAAAAGAAGTGTTGTAGCAAAGTGTGTGTTTTGAATTGGTGTGCATTCAGGACCTGGAAGAACTTGTCCACGTGTTCAGAGGGCGCTTCATCTCGCACACAGGGGTAAGTGTACCTCCCCATCATGTCGTAGATAGACTGCATAATTGCCAGCATCTCCTGATGAGGAGAAGACAAAAGCAGAGAGAAGTCAGGAATAAACATCGGATCTCTCATGATAGATGCAGCTCAGTCAGAAAGCATTAAGTAATTAGGAGAAGCATGGATGTTATTGTAACATGCACAATTTCCTGGATTTTGTTAAAATTCTGGAGATGTCCCAAACAAACCTCTTTGGTGATGTAGCCGTCTTTATTAATGTCGTAAAGGTTGAAGGCCCAGTTGAGCTTCTCGGTGACTGATCCTCTGAGCAGCACCGACAGGCCGATGACAAAGTCCTCGAAGCGGATTGAACCGTTTCTGTCGATGTCAAATGCGTTGAAGAGGAAGTGAGCGTAGGTTGTGGCATCTGTGCGCAAAAAAAGTTGGATTTATGTCAGAGGGAAATATCTTATTTTCACTCGAGCACAGCTATTTGACAGCTCAAATTACTTATTGTAATCTTGATGCCTTACCAAATTATTTTAGTCCCCTTATTTTATAAAACTACACTACTTTTACGTCTGCCATTTCTTAAAATGTAGAAGTTTTACTTGTACAAAATGGATTAACTCTACTTTATCCACACACTAATGCTGTCAGTTAAACAGGAGATATCAGTGTCTTTTATACTATGTCAAATGACTTCCACTTCTGTTCCTGTCATAATTACTAGTTTGTATTTGTGTAGCAGGCCCCTTCTGAACTACATCTACATATAAGGCTGATAACCAATGAGCATATTGCCGTATCAAATAACTGTATTTTTACAGTAAATCTTATGAAGAGTTTGAGAGAAAATATTCTTTCCTAAATATTTCAGACCAAGACATAACACATAAACCTTCTCTTCCCCACATCCTCCGAAGTCATTTTCAAACAGTCCCTAAGAAGAAATGACAGAAAGGAGAGAGATTGTTTTAATGTCTAACCTCCTTGGGGAAAGAACTGAGAATAGATGGTCTTGAATGTCTCCTCATCAACCACCCCACTGGGACACTCCTGCTCAAAAGAGGAAGAAAAATAAGATATATGCAGAATAACCCAAGTCTATATCAAGCCTAGTAATGGTGGTAAAGCCATGAAGAGGACGTACGTTCTTGAAGCCTCGGTAGAGGGACTGCAGCTCCTTCCTGGTGAACTTGGTCTGAGCCTGCAGCTGGTCGAGACCCTCCGGCTGGTGACGCACCGTCGACAGCTCCAGGTCACTGTCGCTGCTGTCTGTGGGAGGAAGAGACAGACAAACAGGAAGAGATGGAGAGGGAGAAAGATGGAGAGAGAAAGAGGGGAGGATGGGGCAGACATTCAGCGTGTGGATGCAGGTCAACATTCGGGGAGGGGTGGGATCACACATTCAACAGAGAGGCATTTGTTAAAGAGCAGGTGGGGAAAACGTGCCAGTGTAAGAGAGAGTAAAAAGAGAAGAGGAGGTACTTTCTTTGTGGTGGAAATGTCACAAAACATTTTGATCTGTCTGCTTTAAAAAACGAGCCACTCAAATCAAATTGTTTACCGGTTTCCACACACTTAGAGAAAGTACTGCACGAGTGGGAAAAAGGGAACCATTCAAAAAAGGGGGGAGAGAAGTGTTCTCAAAGTTGGTGTTGTTACTATACTCACCATCTTTAGACCGAGAGAACAGAGGAGGAGGAGGAGGAGGAGGAGGAGGAGGGGTGTTGAAACCAAGATGGAGTGAAAGAGAGTAAATGGAGAACAGTGAGAGAGCGATAGTAAGAGGAAGAAAAAAGAAAAAAAGAAAACACGTCAGATCACGCTGAGCGGTCCAATGTAAAATACTGATCAAGTTATATTCTGATAAAACCTCCAGCAGAGCAGTGAGATACAATACTTGTGTGAAAAATGAAAACCACAGCAGAGGAAGTTTAAACATTTCTTTGATATTGGATCGTGTGGAGATCAGCGGGAAGCAGACAGCAGGAGACGACCTTCTGACCTCCACCTTCTGACCTCCTTCAAAAATCCAATGTACACACATGTACAATGTATACATTCAATGTTGGCCTTAAAATATCATCTTCAAACATGTAAAACTCTGTGAACCTTAAGTTAAGATTTGCGTAAAATGGGCCCTTGGTGTTGTCAATACTCACTAGACTAGAGCCCTAAAGATGTGTTCAATCCTATCTGGAAATAGTTCCCAATAAATGCACAATTTTGTTTGGGACGCTCCTGTTTGTTTAACATTTTAAACAACATACCTCTTAAAATAAGTATAGGGCTCAGATGAAGAAGTGGAAGGAGGATCTGATCATGGGATTTGCTGACAATAACAAATAGTCTATTATTATTATTATCATCCCTTTTAAGTCATATCGGTTTTTCCACAGTAGCCTTTTACATGATCCTAGATGATCAGAAAGCTTTATATGAACTCTTGTTGAATTTCACCAACTACTACGCTACGGTCATAGTTTACTCAGATTTGCATCAAAAACATTCACAAACATCTACTTCTAAGTGGATAAGAGTAAAACCAATGTAAGTCCAGCCTCCTCCTCCTCGCTCCCTTCTCCTCCTGTCCCGTCTCACCGGTCTCCGTGATGTCGATGAGGCCCAGCAGGTGCATCAGTTTGAGGAACATGATCACCAGGCAGACGATGCCCACAGTCTGGAGTCCCTCTGTCTCCCACCTCACAATCACCTTCCCCTCTCCTTCTGTCGGACCCTCCATGGTTATTCTCTTTCTATCCCTTTTTACTACATACTTGGACTTTCTAAAAGTCCATCCGTCTCTCGGCTCTCCTCCTCCTGTCTCTGAAACAATGTCACTCACTCATCACTCCTTTTCTGTCTCATTTTTTTCCCTGCAGTTTCTGTTGCTCCATTTAACTCTGCCTATTTTTAATTGACTGCCGTTTTCTTGCCCCTCGTGTTCTCTCCTACTCTTGTGGATCGTTCAGGATATTCTCCGCAGCTGAGAGCATGGTCTGAGCGCCCAACTCCTTTATAAGGCCAACAGATTACTGCTGTAAAAATATCTCTAAGAAAAGAGAGGGATAAAAAAATCCCTTCCAAAAATCTGGACTACATCGTTAATCCATGGGAAATCCAACGGGAAAGAGGAAGCTCAGACACACACATGCAGGTTGCTATGAACAAGTTGATTTGGGATCCCTCTGAAGAAGATACCTCCTCTAGTTGGTGACAAAGCTCTTAAATAAAAACAAAGCATCCAACATCCTCCACTGAGTGATTGAATGATGCTCTGCAGCTTCCTCCTCTTATCCCTCCCTCCATCTCACATCTTATTTTCTGCTAATTAACCTGTGAACACCCGGGGAATCAGCTGCATTTCTACATTTTCCATTCAACTAACTAATACATTACAGAAAGGCATAAACACCGACGCTTTAAATGGGCAAAACTAACAGAGATGATTGTTTTTTTTCTAAATGTGACACACGCAAAACAATTTGTTTTAAGAAACCGGAGAGTGCAGAGAGAAAAGATAACAGGTGTCCTGAATCCAATTTTCCCAGCCAGGCTGTGATCCACTTTCTAATTGTTCCCGTCTCTCCTGGGGTCCCTAACACAGATTCAATAGTGTCACACATTCACACTCATGTAATAAATACTCCCTCTAGTGGAGAGACCAATGAAACAACAGACACAGACACCTTGTAGTTTGAACAGGGAACCTCATTATAGAAAAACATGTATCACTTTCTCTATTCACCATTAAGGTCCTTTGCTCTGTGGATGTGATGTCCTAACGGTGACAGAATCACCCTTCACGCGAAAAACGTACCCAATTATAAACTGTACCAATAGAAAGACAGATACATTATAGACAGACAGATGGATTTAACTAAATGACTAGTTACATTTTTTAGAGAGCTGATGTGTTTTGATGAGGTGACATAGAGCATTACTTTGAGCATCTTTTAGGAGAATATCAACATAGATGCTCATCCTGTTTTTTTGCACTTTCAGAGGAGTAAACAGTATTTTTTTCAGCCCTAAGATTTACCTGCAGAATTCCTCTCAGGATGTATACAGCCCTAACACAATCCACTAATATGGGCTGGGGGACTCTGTGTGGTACAAAAAACGTGTATAAATCAGTTACTGCTGCTCCTTCAGCAGGCTGCTGTGATTGAAGATTGTAATAATCAATGCATCTACTGTATGTGTACATCACTTGTATGTTGTTGCTTGGGGCATATTTTATTTACTTTATATACCGCTAGGTTAGCCTATAACAATACTTTAATAGTTTATTAGTTGACTTACATTTTATGTTATTTATTTATTTATAGTAATAATTTCAAATCCTCAAGTCGAAGTCAACTCAAAAATAACAAAAGTAATGACCTGAAAAGTCCTGCATTCAAAATCAAATTCTGAAAAGAAATTCATCAAAATACACTTAAATGCACTTGTAGCTCACCAGTAAGAGTGGATTCGATATTTTGCTCACTTTGTTTACTGCAGGGCAGCTTGTGAATTTAAAAAAACGTTTTATTTTACCTGATGATTATACTTGGTTATTATATTATCAATCTTAATTTCAATCTTTGAGGTAATAAAGCTGTCAAATAAAAACTGTGAAATAAAATACTAGCCAGTGACGTGTATAGAAGCATAAAGTAGAACGAAATGGAATGGGATGGAATATTCCATGTACCGATCATGGAAAGAGCCACAAATAAATAATGAAACTACTCATTCCCTCCACGTCTCTTTATAGTATATCAATGTTACTCACTACTAAAATATCCTGCACGAGAGTCAAATGCGGGGTCAAAATACCAGATGTTGTTATCAGAGCACCTCAGGATACATCTCTACAGACGAGGCTACCGCTGGCATCACATTTCTTCCCAAAATAGGAGCGAGCTGGACTGATCCCAAAATCGACATCTGAGCAGACCTGACTGAGACAACAGCAACAGACCATTTAACTGGACATCAAACACGTGCACACACACCAAACACACACGTTTTTATCATCAACAATTTTTGTCTTGAGTGCTGACGATAAATAATGCACCATATCAGCTACCAGGCCTGATTGGGCTGTTGATGAATAAAAGACATCTAATGTGCCGATGTTTATGCTAAAAGTGGAAAATCTGAGAGCACAGAATCAAAGATTTCTTTCGGACATGCGTTATTACAAATAAAACTACTCTGCTAGAACAATTGTTGTTATTTTGAGAGGTGGGGCTATAACTGAGTTTGCCTCAATGGACAGTAAAGTACTTTTACTATCTTCCATTGTCTGCTTTTCTTTTTAGAAAGCTACACAAGCCGGCAATCATGTTGATCATCAGTTTATTCTTTGTGTATTTTTTCCCAGCAACTTTTGATTTCAGCTTGGTTGATGTGACACTTTGACCACTTTTCTTAGTTTGACATTATAAAATCAAAATATTTGGGTTTTATACCGTTCATTGATCTTCTACCCTTTTGCAAATGTAACAGTTTTTTTAAAGACTCAACAAGAAAGATTTGAAATGTACAGCAGACCCGAATCTGCACCACAGTGTGAGTCTCGATAACATTTCTATATTTATAGCAGGGCTGTGTTTAGAATCTAATTCTAACTAATTCCGGTAAACAAAGAGCTCAACATCTGGACTTGTGAATCCTGAACATCGTGAGGGTCCTACGAGTGACTTTTCCCTAATTTGAATGCAGGCAGCTGAACATTTGAGGGACAAAATATATCAAATATCTGCCGCCAAACAGTTAAAATGTTGATGAGAAGATGCTGAAGAGATAATGAAGATAGTAGATAACTCTCACTGGGAAAGGATGAAGTAATTAAAGGATTGAAGATGCATGTTGAGTATTTTGGAGGCTACTGCGTGATGGCCAGTGTCCTTCAGGATCCTGGAGGAGTACTCCAGGCTCCATATTTAGGCGGCCTCAGAGAGAGGCTGTTCGATACTGCATGTATAATTGATGTGAAGTAATGCTAAACCGGGGTGTGGGCCGTGCCACAGTGGGAGAAGGAGGAGGAGGAATGTAAAGTTGGAAGGATTGAGAAGAGTGATCAATTATGAAAGGACATTACTTGTGTTTTTGTTGAATTTATTACTTATGATGCAGAACTATACGAGAATCACTAATGTGCCGGCTGGAGCCTTCCTGCTGTAATTGTCTTGGCACAGCAGCTGCAGGGCACTCTGACTGGCTGGCCTTCAGCCCAAACCTCTAATCAAAGAGCGTAGCTTTCAAAAAGCATCTGATGTCTCTGGTACTGTCCCAAACGTACACTGTCAAGTGGCCCATCAAGGGTTTTTGGTATTTTTCTTTGTAGGAAAAATAAAACACTTAGCCATTAACCTTTTTCCACTCTGGTGCTTTTTCTGATAAAAACATAACTTTCATGCTTGAACATACTAAAAAAGTACGTACATGTTTCTGTAGTTATAATACTATATACATTTTTGTTTCTTTATGTTGACTTATTACATAGTAGAGAGCTGACAGATTAATGAGGGGACAGAGCACAGAGAGCTGTAAAAACATTGAGGTTACATCGTCAGCTTACTAGACACCTTGGAAACGATTCATTTATTTTTGTATTCATTTATTCTTGAAGATCGACTTTGAAACACACATTTTCAAATGTTGTCCCTGTTGGCCAGATGTTAAATTAGCCATTCAAACCGGCACGCCCAATCTTTGTTTAATGTATAACTCTCATATTGTACTTTATGACTCACTTTAGTGTGAAGCATCTTGTGATGTATGATCTAGACAGTGAAATATAAATAAACTTTATTTTTGCTACTACTGTAGTATGGAAGGCAAAGTGGAAAAATAGTGACTTGGTAGAAGCACTAGCTCTTTCCCAAAGATCTCTCCTAGGGTATATTTAAACAAGAATAAGTGCGTGTATGGGCTTTAAAAAGAAGGAATAATAAATGATAACATAAAACATATGCTACTTTCAGATAATCAAATGTTTTTTAGGAAGTGTATTATCTTAAGAAGTAATAGTAGGTCAACTTCATCTTGCAACAACATTATGTTATTTGTTTTACCAAAACTGTAGTATAAAAAAACAAAGCTGCAGGTTTAATAGATAAAACGAAAATGTTATAACTTTAATCTCACTCTAGCCCTGTATTTACCAATGGAAGGCAGTATATGAACTTGTAAATAAATAAATTGATTATAAAGACACTATATTGTAGTTATTAGCAGGTATATAAATACTGAATGACCACATACTTAAACCTTAAATTAAATCAGTTTTTATTAAGGATTGATATTATACATTTTATTTGATTTCAATACTGCACATCTTCCTCTTTGCATAAAAAATAAATTATAGTGTCTTATAAGCCTTCTATTAACTCCTATATAGTGTTTCTACAGTGAGTCATCATAGTGGGCTCAGGTGGGTCCTTACCTTCAAATGAGGACATGGGCTCCAAGATGCCAAACTGCTTGAGAACTGCCATGAAAAGGATGATGACCACGCCGATGGCAAACAGCTCCATGCCCTGGATCCCCATGACTTCCCGGGTGGGGGGGCCCACTCAGGGCCAAGCCTGCCTCAGAAGGCCTGGCCCCCGGAGAGAGAGGAGAGGGAGCCTGGGCCGGCACGAGCACTGCTAGACCAGGCCAGTCAACAACAAGTGTTTTCAACAGAGGGGGCCCACCAAGTGACAGGAATCAAGTCTGGTTGGGGAGTGACGGCATGGGTTTGTTTCCAGGCCCAGGAGAGCACATGAGAACGAGGCCAAGCAGGCTGGACGAAGGCTGCTCTAATGTCAACACTGATGCTGAAGTGGAAAATATGTGGAAGCCGACATATATGGAAAACTTCCCTCTCTAGACCCATGAGGGAAAACGGGGGTTGTGTCACAAGCCATTTATTACAGTGCATTAAAGGAGACGTTTAGACTCACTTTCCAGACTTTGCTCCTGCACGCAGTCTCAGGAGCAAAGTCAAAAACACAAGTTACTGCTCACCTCTTAATCCAAACAGCTATTATCAGTCCTCACGTCATAGTTTACTCTCCTGAATCACATATTGGTTTCAGTTTAAAACGTCTTTTGAGAAAAAGCTAAGAATTTGGTGCATACAACTGACTTGATGAAATACAGGACATGCAATACCAGAGTCTTCTCATCTTCCATGCCATAAACGCAATAACAACATAAGTCATTAATAATAATTCACCTCATTATTTGCACCAACCACGAGCAACAAACTAAACAAAACATACTGTAAATTCTCTCTATCTGCAGGGAACACTCTGACTCTGTGGTTTTAGCGACATCCGCTCAACAATATTCAGGATGAGATAATGTTTTAAAACTGACCTGTCAGGCAAGATACAAAAATCAGTTTTTCATGCAAAGTGAACAGTGCATAGAACAGCCTCTGTTGTCTAAAAAAAACAAAGTCATTGATTCAAATATTTACCAAAGCAGCCTAATAATGCTGATTCTGTCACTAATTATTTGGTCTACTTAAAACCTCAAAGGACAGACATGAATTGACCCCAAATACTTCAACGTTCAACGCAGCGGTCCCGTCTGATTGTGTCCACTTCACTGTTTGTCCAAATCCAGGTCCCGATATGGAAGAGTATGGCCCTGTAGAGAAGGCACTTAGAGCAGCAGCGTCCAGGGAGGGAAATCCTGATAAACTGAGAGGAGCTGTGGGGAATGAAACCTCCCACGGCGTCTACCTCCTCCACACATATGTTTCCATTTCTTCCCTCTCTCTGCTGCTTCCTGAATGTATCTGTTGCTGCTTCTTGTTGCAACTTTTCCTCCCTCGACTCACTATACGCTCACTCCGGCTGAGGTTTGAAACTGGAGTGCACTGTCCACCAAGAACCCATCCCGTCCTTCTTGTGGTCTCTCCTTACTCCACCGCACTCCTCCTTTTTCTCCGTCTTTCCATCTGATTCGCCTTTGCGCCTCCTCCTCCTCCTCCCTCCATCCCCCCTGTCATTCCATAACTTTGGCCAACCGCTGACTTTCTCCCCCCCTCTGCTTGACTCTCTGTTTCCTGCTCCACAGTGTCCCTCCTTCCTCCACCACATCCAGCTCTTCAGGGGCGGGTTGACAAATGTTTGGACGTAGGGCCGGACTACAGCACATTCATGAAACAAAAGCGAAACCGTGCTCAAATTTGATGCCTTGGTTCTGAGCAAAGAGGTACTGTGAGGAAATGGATGCCTAACAAACAATACATATGAAATAATATCAATTAAAAGCTATATGTAACTCCACATATTGACATAAGACAACATGGAAATAGACATATAAAAGGCCCGCCAGCCCTCATAGCAAGGCCCAAAGACTGAATTAGGCAGTTTTGCAAGACTTTGAAGTGCTTTGGCATCTCTTGGTTGTCATTTTGCAAGTATGTTTGATCTTTTAATTTCTGTGTAACCGTTTCATTTCTTTGTCGTTGTTTGGAATGCTTCCTGGGAGATTTTTGCCTCTTGATTTGTTAGTTTGCTTTTCATTTTGCATGTTGTGTTGCTTGTGATTTACATCTTTTGATAAGGCAATTCTGGTCCTATGCCTGATGTGTACACAGTAACCCTCTATGATACTAACAATACAACGTCCTACCCCCTTCTTTGATTTATGGTGTGGTGTGGCCAGACCTACAGACTGGCACACAGAGGTAAACTAGCAGGGACCTCCCACCTCCCCACACTTTAACTCCTCCATCTTTGCATAGAAGAACTCTGAGTATTATAAATGTATTATTAAGATTCCTGGAGCAACAGTTTGTCATAGATAACATGCAGAAGTATGATGAGTGTTTGTGAGCATTAGTGTGTATACATGTGGTGACTGTGTGTTTAGCGGGTCAGTAGAGGATAACTGATTACTCTGCACTCGCTAATGCATCAGGATAACATGGGGAATGGAGGGGTGTGTGTGTGTGTGTGTGTGTGTGTGTGTGTGTGTGTGTGTGTGTGTGTGTGTGTGTGTGTGTGTGTGTGTGTTTTCATGCATTGACTTGGTTGGAGCTGGAAGACGCAGACGGGAGGCCAGAGTGTGAGAGATCAATATATCTTTGTGGTGCGGTGCTGGTGGTGGAGCTTCCCCCTTTCTCTTCATCTGCTTCTTACACTTTACCAGAAAAATCAAAGCAAGCATCAATAATAAAATCACAAATCTATTTTCAGTCTCTACGGAAACCATTCTTTAATAAGTGAGCCTCTGCGGGGGTTAATTTGATAAAGGTCAAGTTTATATTTTAGTTACCACTTTGTTGAGGAGTGTGGATCAGGTGACATCCACACACAACACAACGCACCATGCATGTACAGCAGCTATTATGGGATGCATTAGGGGTTGTGCTTAAGTCTATTTATGTACAATTACGTTTGTTCTTTTGTATTTTGATGCTGGTGTAGTGAGTTTAGGGTCTAGTATATGTGTGAGCATGATGGTTCTTCTAAGCAGGCCATTAGGACACTAACAGGTTTTTAAAAGGTAGGCTTGCCGCTGCCTGCTGACACAATAGACTGCTTCCTCTCAGTCAGACACCTCAGCAAGATCAAGCTAAACAATACCATGCTATCATATATGCAGCTCAATGTTGTTTACACATGACATTTATCTTTCAGATCGTCCCAGTGGGCTGATAAGAATTGCATAGCAAAGCAAGGCTTTATCAAAATTCAATTAATAATGATAAATGAAAGATAAATTCTTGACTATTGCCATTTTAAGTAAAAGCAATTCCACCATATGACGTACTCAATTACAAGTAAAATGCCATTGCATTCGAGATCTACCTATACATAAGTACTTAGGGAGGAGACAAAATATGTAATTAAAGTGTCAAACGTTGAAGTACTCGATTACTGCCTCTGGCATTTTAAAAATTGATAGAGATAGTCGATAATCAGTAGATAAAAGTAAAACATTTGACATTTTGTTGTGTAAAGCCATATTAAACCTAAACAAATCTAATGTACTTACCTCCACTTTGCAGTAAATGTACTTTGTTAGTGTACTATTCAGGGAACTATAATGTAGAAATGGGTTTAATGTTCAGTTAGTGGGAATAGTCATGACTGAACCAAAACTAATTTAGACTACAGCGGAAACGATTTCACAGACCTGTTCAACTAAAGTATTTTCTTGGAAGTTTAGAGCGTAAACACCACAAAACTGTTTACTTATCAGCAGAGACCAATTCCAAAAGAATCAAGACAGCCTCTGGATTACTGCTTTTAGAAAGAGAAGTAAGAGTGAAAAAAAGAGACAATGTGAGAGAGTGAAGAAGTGAATGAAAGGTTGAATGAAGACAGATAATAGTTGGGGAAGTGAAACCATACGAGCGCCTACCTGAGCGATGGTACCTGGCTGCATTGTGGCCGCAGTGAGAGAGACGCCTCCTGGCCTCCACAGAGAGAGCGGCCATCATGGCTCCCATAATGCAACTGGAATAACACCACTAACAGGCTGCTCTGAAATACTGCTGTAGATCCTGGGATTAGAGCAAAGTCTAAAAAGACACGATCCAGACTAAAAAAGACTTTATCAGGCGTGAATCCGTTGATCAATGCTAACAAAGTGCTCACCTCTCTCATCTCAGGGCAAAGCTTGAAAGTCTGACTCTTATGTGCCTACACAGACAACTGCCTGGCACTGTGACAGGGGAGAGAATGTTTCACAGCGTGTGTCTGTGCACGTGGCCACATTTGTTAATCTGTTTGAGTTTGTGACACCACATCCCAGTGAGAAGAGAGAGATGAAAAAGAGGAAGGATCAAAGCTTATGACCTTTCACATCGCACACCTCCACGTTTCCTTTAGAAGAAGTCTGTCTGTCTCACTCCCTTCCTCTCGTCTGATCGTACTCCATAGAGAAGCCTGACAATAAAACTCCTACACACTGTTTCACCCTATCTGTTATACAAATATCTACAATCCAGCCTCTATCCTCTATCTCCCAATACGATGCTTTCACAATACTACGCTGCCGATTCAATTAATTTGAGATTTATGTAAAAGAAAAATCAGTAGACCATGGGGATAATACTAAATGGTACTGTTCTACTATGAGAGTATAGATGGAAAAAATGCTTTGAGATTTTACAATTTAGATACGCATAACCCACAAAGTATTGGTGAGGTTGATAATCTTCTTCATTTCTATTCTTTTGTCAAGATAAACTCACACTACTGAAAACAATGTATTTATGTGTCACTATACGCATGCCAGTTTCAAGTTATTTGAGTGTCTACACACACTTGATATGAACAGACTTTACAACCCTCAATCAGAACAGAACATAATAAATAAATATCTAAAAAAGAAGAATGGTTTGGTGCCATGTTGATACCCTATTGTATAAAGAAGAGGAACTGTTTGGTTAAAGTATTGAAACATCACAGCAAATACATTTTGTATGGAAGAATTTAAAGTCAAGGACTGCTGTTTCTAATATTAATGCTAAGCTAAGCTAACCAACTGCTAGCTGCAGCCTTGTTTTCAACAGACACATGTGAGAGTGGTATTGATCTTATCATCTAACTCTCAGGAAAAACGTTTCAATTAAGAAATCTGAGAGTGTATTGTACAGTACATTACTATTAATTATATTTTCTTTGATTGTGGTCACTGGGCGATTCATGCTCTGTAGAAACACTGCCATATGTTATGAAAGATTGAAGCTAATTGAGTCTGTCTTTATTTTCCACACATCCTGTTTGTAATTCAAATCAAATCAAATCAAATCAAGTTTTATTTATATAGCACATTTATAAACGATTTTTGGTCGAGCCAAAGTGCTGTACAAATAATAAAAATACCCTACAGTAAAGACATTTTACAGCAAATACAACAGCACAGTTTGTTCAGAATATCAGTATGAGAAAAAAAACGACACCCTCTATTACTACTGGTGGGTGGATTATATGTTTTCAACTATCCACAACTTGAATATACAGTAAATCTTTATGATGTATGGATTATTTATTTCTGGATTACACACTTTAAAAACCCTTATGTTACTGGTAGTGTAGTTTAGTACATGTTTTTCCATTTTGTAGCTGCATGACACACTGCAGAAAAGTATTATTCCTTGTATGTAAAATGTCAAATATAGCCTCATATAGACAAAACTTAATATAATTCTTCAGATTCGAAAGTAACACTTTTAAATTATTTGATCAAACAGTTTTGTCTAATTACATAAAATATTCAGTTTACCATCATAAAATACAAATAAAAACAGAAATCTACTCTTGAAAAGCTTGGACAAGCAAAGCTTTGCTATCTTTGCTTGAAGAATGAATTTATGCGAATGTGATTGCAGCTTTAGAACGTTGTCACATTGATGTTTTAGAACATGAATAGGCAACAGAAATATACAGTAGTACAGAAAAATTCAAGGAGAAATAAGTGGGTTTCAGTTCTCGAAAATTAATATTCTCTAGTTTTTTTAAATCTTTTATTATTTGAATTTGAATGTCCAAATCCAATTTTCAAAGAGATCACATTAGACCCTGGGCATGTGTAACTAGCAGTATTACCAATTTACTGAGGTTTTACAGATAATCATCAGTTTCTGCCGTCTGATGTACAATAACATAGATCCCCATCAGTCATTGAATATTTCCTCTGCCCACTAGAGGACGCTGGACACCATACCACACACAGCAGAGAAGAGAGAAAAGAGAAGGAAATGAAACATGAGCGAATGGATCAAATTATTCAGACTATTCCAAGATCGTGTAAGAGCTTACTCAGCTTCTGCTGGGACTTGTCACATCAACAGTTTCTACATTTTAAATGGTAATTATTAATTAGGACCAACCAATACATGGTTTCAACAAGCAGCCACAAAGAAATATAATATGAAAAGACTTCA